TATTATTATTATTATTATTATTATTATTATTATTATTATTATTATTATTATTAATTTTGTAAAAACAATACCTACAGTTTGGGTGTTTCCTACCTCCGAACCCTTGCAATCATGTTGATTGGGTTTCCTAATTCACAATCTCAGAAAAGAAGCTAGAGGTGTACCAAAGTATTGCAGATCTGACCGTGAAGGCACGAGACCAGGCTGTGTTCAAGTGTGAGGTGTCCGATGAGAATGTGAAGGGTATCTGGCTGAAAAATGGGAAAGAGGTCATCCCAAACAATCGGATTAAAATCTCTCATATTGGCAGGTACATTATAACATTTTACAGTGGTTATAGAACGCTGGTTTTCTTAGGATTATTTTTGTGGTGTGAAAAAAGTAATTTAAAGTTCCCCATAAATATGAAAAATATATATGAAAGCTGAAAGTACTAAATGATTTTTTTTGTTTTTAAGAAGATGCACAAGTAATTAATTAACAATTAAGTGACTTTGAAGTTTCTAATATTCATACTTTTTTCAGATATTGTGAACATTTAAATATGGTCTTTTGGATTTTCAGTATTGAAATTTAAAAATAGGAATGCTAATGTTAGATGTTGTGTTTTAAGATTTATTTTGTTTTTGCTTTATATAGTGTCTTAATTTTTTTTCTCTGAGTTTTGCTGTCTCCCCCCACCCTGACCCCATTATTGGTTATTTTGTGTTTGTATGTGTGTCTGTTTAATTTTTAAAAATTTATGTCAGCCAAAAAATCTCCTTCAGTTATAATTATAGTTGGGTTGCTTCCAATTTTACTACCAGTTCACAACACACGTTCAACATGCGCTGCCCGTGCGTGCACTGTTCAATGTAAATTGTTCTTTGTGCATACACATGTGCAGTCACTAAAAAACAAAATGGCAGCAGCCCAGAGGCAGCAAGGGAACTGGTTCGGGGGCGTGGCAAAACTACAGGTTCGGCCAAACTGAGCCTAACCAGGAGCAACCTACCTCTGGCTGGGCAGCACAAGCAAATGACAACTAATGACTTAAAAGCCAGCCATCAATATATCCCGATCAATATCTAAAAAGCCACTTACAGCAGGCACTACAAATACCACACACAGAACAGCACACAGTCTGCTAGAAAAAATTCCCTGAAAGCTCAGACAAAAGCTGAAAAGTCAAAATTCTGATCCTGCTGACATAAATTGGATCCTGCAACATTATCCCAGGACATGTATATCCCGCCTTCATCCATGACAAATATTTCTTTTTCAGAATCCATAAGCTAACCATTGATGATGTTACCCCAGAAGATGAAGCTGATTATTCTTTTGTGCCTCAAGGATTTGCATACAATCTCTCAGCTCATCTGCGTTTTTTGGGTAAGTTTCATGGAATCTCTCTTCTAACACTAGGTAAGAATGTGTAGCAGGATTTGTATGTCTGTATGTCTGTTTTTAAATGCACATTTCATAACTAAGCTGTGATTAGATCTGGTTGCTGAATATAGCTTATTTTATTATATTAAAGCTGCAACACCACCATTTGCAAAAAAAAAAAAAAAAAAGCAGAGTGGTAAGACATAATACCATATATTGTATTGTTTCAGTGTAACTTACCATATTTTTCAGATGCACATTAGTTTTGGGGGAGGAAAATGGGAAAAGAAAATTCTGCATCCATTGGTATTCATCTGGCTAGTGTCCTTAGCAAATAACCTGGTCAGATTTAGCACATTATCACAGCCTGATTCAGCACAAGTAGCTGATTGGTGGTAGATCAGCCTCCCGGAATATCCCCAATCAGCTGTTCCCAGAGGTGAACGTTAACAACTGTTTCACTGGTTGTTAGCACATGTGCGTGCTCCCTTCGATCACACATGTTTCTTTGGGGCTGAAACGCAGCTTCAAACATGCAGCTGATCTACTCATGCAGCTCTGGTGAGTACAGCAGGCATGGCATGGAACAGTCAGACCAGGCAGCAGCTGTTCCAGGCTGGTTTTTTGGTCTCTGTGTGTCACATTTTTGGGGCGGTTCTAGGCAGTGGGGATCGGCAGCTGCGGTGATTCCCGCTAAAACCTCCCAAAAATGCAATGCGCAGAGTAAAACCACAATGCGCAGAGGCAGCAATTGGCGGCAATGTGTTCTGGCGATCCCCACAGTCTTGAATAGGTCTGAAACGGAGCGTTCGGAGGCTGAAAGCGCCAGGCAAAGAGGCCAAAGGCGCAAGGCACAGAGGCCAAAAATGTGAGGCTTGGAGGCAGTGTTGGTCTGTGACAATCTCTTCAGCCTGGAACAGGTATAAAACACAATGCACTGAGGAAAAATATGGTCAAAGGGTGCGGCCCGGCGGGTGGATGGGGCTACATTTGGTGTATAAGATGCACCCAAATTTTCACCCTCTGTTAAGTGGGGAAGTGTGTCTTAAAGTCCTCCAAAATATGGTAACTCTGGAAAATTAGTCCACAAACTGTTTAGCTAGCCTTTTTCAACAGAATAGTTTCCATTTGGGAGAGTTTTGTTAGAAGAAATGAGGCAAGGAAAGAGAGTAGCTTTCTTTTTTTAGCTGTTGCTCCCCCTTCCCCACTCAGTCATATCCCAAGCTTCTCTGGAAGACTGTTCCGGGGAGGAAGTATAAAGATGAAAGGCAACAGAAGAAAGAGTGAATCAAGGAAAAATGTTGCCATGTTCCTTTCTTGGGTGGGAGGTTTCCTACAGATCTATTAAGCCAAAAGGATGAAAGCTATAGTTAGCAACAGTAGAAATACAATTACTGGATAATGGGATATATAAGGTTGGGTATTTTATAAATCTATGCATGTATATTACAAATACATCAGAAACAAACCTGAAAGTGAGATCAGAGAATAAAGTCAGAAGATATGAAAACCAACCAGGAAATCAAAGTGATAAAGGAAATCTTTGACCAACCCCTGCAGGCAGAATATGCTAATAATATTTTACACTGTTTTTGAAAAAACAAATGCATGACCATGATGGTCCAGAAATATCAAGTAGTGGAACATAGTTTAGAGGAATAATGATAAAACCTCTTTCATCAGTGCTTCAATGGATGGATTCACAAGTTCAATGTCACTGCTTTGTGTGATTTTTTTTCTTCGCCGATCTATGGATGTTTGTAGTTGTTTGAAATCTGTTAAACCTTAGAAAACATGAAACCAGAAACATTTCATCAAATATTAGTTCATGCTGCCATTGACAAAGCAGCCATAGTGATTTTCAGGTCTTCTGCAGCCACAATGCCATATTTAGAGGAAAAATAAGGGACAGGCTGAAACTTTGGAGCATGCTAGAGGGGCGTCAATTAAAAAGATAGTGGATTGGCAATGGTGAGCCATCCTTTAGGCTTCCCGTTGACAATTCACCATCTCCTCCCGATCATCAAGGTTTTGGAGTCAATGGCATAAGGGCATTGGAGCCATTAATAGATCAAACTTAATGACAGTATTGAATTATTATTGCATTGATTTTATTACTCTGCTTTGCAATCCCCTTCTCTGTCCTCTCACACAGTCTCCTTGGCAACTCACATTCTTTCACTATAGGTTTTTTTTTTAAAAAAAATAAATGCTTGCTTCAAGTATGTAGCTACCAAACATACTTCATCATTTTTCCTTCTCTCCCTCCCCCCACCTTTCTTTTGTTGCAGAGATTAAGATTGACTTTGTGCCTAGACAAGGTAAGGGCAACTTTTTTATTTATACTAATATATGAAATGAGAACCTATATATATATATATATCTTTATCTATCTATCTATCTATCTATCTATCTATCTATCTATCTATCTATCTATCTATCTATCTA